TATATATATATATATATATATATATATATATATATATATATATATATATATATATATATATATATATATATATATATATATATATATTATAAAAGCATGAATACAATGTCGGTTTACAAAAATAACCTTATAATGTTAAGTATAATAACTCATAATAAAAGGACATAACCGGAATTCTAGATATTACTTTATAATCCTATTAGATTTAGGACATAACACTACACACTAATATTTAGGACTTTAAAATTAATTAAATTTTGGTTATTAAATCTTTCCTTATTGAACTAGGTAAGATTCATAAATAAAAATATTAAATTTAACCTTGTATTGCAAGAATAAAGAGAGTTTGGTCTAACGTATGGAAAGACTTCGAAAAAATTTGGAGTTAAAAAAATCGAAAGATTACAAACTCGAGAGTTTACTTTGACTCAACGTTTTAAAAATGAATAATAGTATATATTTTACCTTCTTTATTTATATTAGAAATTGAAGGATTTTTTTTACTTTGAACAAAATACCTTATAATGTTAAGTATAATAACTCATAATAAAAGGACATAACCGGAATTCTAGATATTAGCTTTATAATCCTATTAGATTTAGGACATAACACTACACACTAATATTTAGGACTTTAAAATTAATTAAATTTTGGTTATTAAATCTTTCCTTATTGNAACTTCCGGAATTCCATTCCGACCCCTATATCAAAATCCCACCTATCAACCGGAAAACGCCAAAATTCCACTTTCGCTAATTCAAGCCTAAATCTACCACGGACCTCCAAAACACATTCCGATCACGCTCCTAAGTCACAAATCACCTCCCGAAGCTATCCGAACCATCAAAATTCACATCCGAGCCCTCTAACACATAAGTCAACGTCCGGTTGACTTTTCCAACTTAAGCTTTCTTAAAAGAGACTAAGTGTCTCAAACCTTACCAAAACCTTTCCGAACTCGAGCCAACCAACCCGATCACACATAGAACCGATAAACAAAGCAATAAGAAGCAGAAATGGGGAAAACGGAGCGGTAACTCATGAAACGACCGGCCACGTTGTTTACAATTACATCGTGACTCCAAGCTAATGTTATGTCCTAATGATAAGTAACATAACTTGTCGGTTTACAAAAATAACCTTATAATATTAAGTATAATAACTCATAATAAAAGGACATAACCGGTATTCTAGATATTAGCCTTATAATCCTATTAGTTTTAGGACATAATACTACACGTTAGGAATCCTATTAGTATAATTACTTTCGGGCCGTCAAATTCATACAAAATTGAACAAGTAAATATCTTTAGTCATGTAATCCTATTACTTTTAGGATATACTTCTTAAAAATTTATATTACTATTTTAATTTTAAAATTATTATAATGTCCTATTACTAATTTAATTTGAGAATGTATTATATTGTCCAAATCTGTTTAGAAAAAAGAGAGCCCATATTATAATAAAAGCATAAATACAATATTAATATACCAAAGTAGTCCTAAAATATCAAAAGGAAGATCTCATTGGGAAAGGACATAACTGCAATAACTTATTTTTTTGACTACAATACCTTCTATGCTAATTTTTAATATTTAATATTTTAAAATTAATAAAATTTTGTCTACTAAATACTTACTAAGAATATGTATGAAGGTTTAATAAAAACAATTTCATCAGAATCCTCCGTATTGGCAATACATTATCACTCCATAGTCCAATACAAAAAAAAAAAAAATTTTTATTGGACCGCATAAAGATTTGAAATTGAGGGGAAAAAAGACCCCCACGATAATATATTTTTATATTATATTTGAACTATTTTTCTACTCAAATAATATATTTTTTTAATCAATTTTTCGTGTAATATTAAAAAATACCCAATTATTAAACAACAAGTATGAAAATTTTAAAGAATATAAATATGTGAGAAAGAGAAAAAAAAATAGTTCGTAAGAGTCAATACCACTAATGATTCTACAGACATAAAGATCTAAAAGTGAAATGTCATATTATTATTTTACTATTTGAAAATAAAATTTATGGCGGATAAAATTATAATTAAGATTAAATATTCAAAATAAGAGGTGAACTAATATTAAGATCTGAATCAGCATAGAATAAATTATTTTTTATTTTAAAACATTAAAAACTTTTAATTTTATTGCATTGAAATTGAGGGGAAAAAAGAGTTGAAATTGAGGGGAAAAAGGAGTTGAAATTGAGGGAAAAAAAGACCCCCACGATAATATATTTTTTTATATAATATTGTAACGACCCAGCCGGTCGTTTTTGGAATTTACGCCCCGATCCCCTATTAACTACTTCCCCCAAGCTTATTTCTGCTATTTTGATTTGCCGGGATGTTCGGTTTTGAGTTTCGGGACACTTAGTCCCTAAATGAGAGCTTAAGTGTTGGAAAATTTACCGTAGTCGGAACAGTGTGAAGACGGCCTCGGAATGGAAATTCGACGGTTCCTTTAGCTCCGTTAGGTGATTTCGAGTTTAGGGGCATGGTCGGATTGTGTTTTGGAGGTCCGTAGCTAATTTAGGCTTGAAATGCCGAAGGTTGAATTTTGGAAGTTTCCGGTTTGATAGTGAGATTTTGATCCGAGGGTCGGAATGGAATTCCGAGACTTGCATTAGTTCCTTCATGTCATTTGGGATGTGTGTGCAAAATTTCAGGTTATTCGGAGATGGTTTGGTTAGGCTTCTGATCGAAAGCGTATTTTGAGGAAATTTGGAGTTCTTAGGCTTAAATCCTTGATTAATTCGAGTTTCCGATGTTGTTTTAGGTGGCTTAATGATTGGTACAAGTTTGAATGAGGTATTAGGTGTTATTGGTGCTTTTGGTTGAGGTCCCGGGGGCCTTCGGATGATTTCAGATGGTTGACGGGAAGGTTGAAGAAGTGTTGCAGCAGCTGTAGTATTGCTGCTTCTGGTATTTCCGCATCTGCGGCTTGGGAACCGCAGATGCGGCGCCGCAGAAGCAGCTAAAGGGCCGCAGAAGCGGCTTTGGGTCATTCTTTCAGAAAGCGCAGATGCGGTGTGTGGCCCGCAGAAGCGGTACCGCAGATGCGGTGTGAGGCCCGCAAAAGCGGAACCGCAGGAGCGGTTAGACGTCTGCAGATGCGAAAGCTGGCCACTTAAGGGAAAGTCACAGATGTGACACTTGTTCCGCAGAAGCGGGACCGCAGATGGGGTCCCAGGGCCGCAAATGCGGAAGTAGCTGGGCAGATCATATAAATAGTTGCCTTTGCGAAAATTGGCTATTCTTCCACCATTTTCATCCGGGTTTGAAGCTTTTGAGAGGGGTTTTTGAGGAAATCAAAGGTAAATCACTTGGAGGTAATGTCCTTGACTTCATAACTCATTTTTATGTGATTAAAGACCTAACTAATGGTGAGAAATTTGGAAAAAAGGGGTAACTAGGGCTTGAGTTTAAGAGACCTTTAATTGAGGATTTGAGGGGTCATTTAGACCCCGATTTCAGTGTTCTTGTTATGAATAGACTCGTGGGAGTACGAGGTTTCTGAAAATATAAATTTCACCTGATTTCGAGAGTTGTCCTGAGGGGCGTTTCGGTCATTTTACCTAATTTCACGTCTTAGCTTAGAATTTAATTATCGAATCAGTTATTTGAAGTATTATTTACATTATAAAATTGAATTGAATAGATTTGGGCCATTTGGAGTCAGATACTCATGGCAAGGGTGTGGTTTCGAGTTGATTTTGAGCCGGTTCGAGGTAAGTGGCTTGTCTAACCTTGTGTGGGGGACTTTTTGTTGAGAATATGTAATATTTTACTGATTGTGCACTTAAAAACCAAGAGTCAAAATTTTCCAGAAAATTGCCATTATGCGGTCCAGAATGCGGTCGCAGATCAGTTATGCGGACCGCATTTCTGCCGCAGAGTGAAACAGAAGAATTGTCAAAATTGATGTTGAAGATGCGGTCGATTATGCTATCGCATAACCAATATGCGGACCGCATAATCGTCGCATAAATTCCTCAAGGATTTGTGAAGGTCAGTTCTGCGGTGCAAAATGCGACCGCATAACAGGAATGCGGACCGCATTCCTGTCGCAGACCCAAACAGACCCTTCAGAGTTTGGGGGCACTTCTGCGGTCCAATTTGCGGACCGCATTTCGATTCTGCGATCGCAGAATGCGATCGCAGATCTTGCTCGGGCTTCTATTTTTCTAAATTTTTAAACCCGACCCCTTTGTAATAAACACCCAACCCCTCATTTTTAACATTCTTCTGAACAAAAATAAGAGAGAGGAAGAGAGGGTTCTTGAGAGAGAAAGCGATTTTCATCAATTTGGTTCTTCAAAACTATCCGGGCAGGGAAAATTCAAAGTAATTGTCCTCATCCCCATCCTTACTGGTTAAATCCCTAACCTTTTTCCTTGATTTTCAGGTTTAAGCTGGGGGGAGGGGGGGTCTCATGCATTAAATCTTGAAAGTT